GGTGCATTTTCTGAAGAAGGGTCTAGGCCCGAAACGTCAGCCTTCCTGCTCCTCTGATGCTGCTTGGCCTGCTGTGTTCATCCAGCTCTACACCTTGTTATCTCAGATTCTGCAGCATCTGCAGTTCCTACTATCTCATGGCAGTATGGCACTTTTGTTTAATTTTCTCCAGTTTCGGCAGTAGCTTGGTTTTATATTAGTCACACATTCCTTGTTAAATGCATAATTATAAAAGTCCATTCAGTACCTTTGAGGTACTCAAAAAGATATATTGTCATCGTTAATGGAATCACACCTAAACAGAATTCACAAAACAAAGGAATGAAAATGGTAAAAAAAAATACAATACCAACTTTTTTTTTCTCTCTGACATCATACAAAGCCAAGCTTGCAAAAATCGGCTCAATTTCAATTTCAAATCTAGAAAGAGAAGAATTATTTTGTTTTAGATCACAAGGGATTATTTTATAAGTGATATATAATTTTATAATTTACAACTCTTCATGAAATAAAATACACATACTTCAACGATAAACATTTCACAAGCAATCTTTGACCGAAGTGCTCTCTCGGAACCTCAGGAATACTGTGCCTTTCTATTGTGTCATCCTGTAATCAGTTTGAAACACAGAAGTTAGTTCATCACTAGTATAAGCCCATCGACCAATATTTATTGCTTGGTGAAGCCACCTGAAAATCAGGACATAAAGTATCTAATGAGTATTTCACACAGTCACAGTTTTCATTTAACAATTTCAGAGACCTTCAATTGAGTGGAATTGAGCTATGCAGGACAGATAGTTCTCGCTTCAGTTCTTTATCCTGAGTTTGCTTATTTCCAGCTGAGATTGCAAACTAAGTTGCAATAATTAGCCTTACCATTTACAAAATAGCTAAAGAAATCAGACAGGAGTCCCACGCTTGATAGCTACCCACTGCAAAGTGCACAAGGACAGCCTCAGGTTTCCACAACAACAACTACAAGTACATGAACATGGCAAAATATCCGAGGACTGTTCAGAGAGACATAAATCAAACTTAATTTGGCCCAAAACCAGAAATGGAACCCACTACCTATGACGGTTATAGAAGCAGAGACGATAAGTAATTTAAAAGAGAAGCTGCATGGGTACTTGAGAAAAATAAATGTAAAGGTTATGGGGTTACAGCGGAGAAATTGGATTGATTTGATTTCTTGACAGATTGCCAGCTTGGACTCAATGGGCTGGTGGACACCTTCTTTGCTGTGACCAAGTCACATAAGGTGCTTTAGAACAACTGTCCATAAGTTTCTGACTTGGAGACAGGACTGTGGATATCGGTGAACTATGGATTGGATTTTACAGAGGGATAGATTACCAGACCTTCAAGCTAAAAGTTGCACACCACTTCACTGACATTAAAGCCGATCACCCAACAGTGATAGTGTGCAGTGGGTGGCCTACTGAAGAAAGACTTGTCTAAAGTGGGCTAGGAAAATAGGCTTAAGATATTTCATAATGCTCAGCAAAAGTGTATTTAGCCAAAAAGAACTCAATGAGAAGGATAAACCACCCACAGTTAACAAAGGGCGTCAGAGAGAGTATTCTGTCAAAAATTAAGGCATATGAAGTGGCAAAACAAGTGATAGGCCAGCGGTTTGGGAATCAGCAGCAGATCATTAAATAACAAGAAAATTGGTTATGAAACCAAATTGGCAAGAAACATAAAAACAAACAGCAAGAGCTTCTATGGTTAAATAATATGAAAGCCAGTTGCTACAGGGAGTGTGGTACCCATGGAGATGTAACTGGGGAATTGATAACGGGGAACAGGGGAACTGTTGATAATTGAAATCAATATTTTGCATCAGTCTTCATTGGCGATCACTATGAATATCCCAAAGATGTCAGCTAAGCAATATACTAATGAGAGGAGAAGTCTTGTATCTCAAGAACCAAAGTATTTGACAAATTAATGGGACTAAAGGCAGACAAGTTGCCAGGACCTGATGGCTTGCATCCAAAGGTTCTAAAGGAAGTGGCTTACAGAGATAGTGGGAGGCATTAATAGAAATATTCTAGAGCTCACTGGATTTGAGGAGGGTCCCAGCAGATTGTAAAACTGATAATGTAATGATCCTGTTCAAGGAGGGAGGGAACAGAAAGCAAGAAATTCTTGGTCAGTAAATCTAACATCTGTCATTAGGAAAATGCCAGAGTCTGTTATCAAGGAAGAAATAGAACATTTAGAAGAACGTAACTCAATGAGATAGAATCAAGATGATCTTCTGAAGGGGAAAAAATGTTTGACAAATCTGCTGGAGTTCTTTGAGGATATAACAATTGGAATGGATAATGGGGAATTGGTAAATATAGTGTATTGGGATTTCCAGAAGGCACACAATAAGGTGCCACAGAAAAGGATATTGCACAAGATAGGAGCCCATGGTATTGGGAGTAATATATTAGTGTGGATTGAGGAACGCTTAACACAGAAGACAAAGAATCAGGATAAGAGGGTCTTCTTCAGGTTGAAAAGACATAACGAGTGGAGTGCCACAAGGATATGTCCTATGGCCTCAATCATTTACTATCTGCTAGAATGACTAGGCTGTGAGGTAAACAGCAAGTAACATTTGAGGGAATATGATAATTTTGATAGTTATACCCTAATTAGGTCAACCTGCAGATCAAATGATTTGCCAAAATAATTGCCTTATTATGTACCATGGCAAATTACATTCATGCCTTTTTCATTGAAGGTTTATCAACAACGTAGGCATCACACTAGAGACAACATGAGCGCTTAATGTCTTGCTCTAGCTATTTTATGGGGAAATATAACTCTTAGGTGATCTCAAAGTTCTGTCATTGCCATGTCTAAAACAAGTGCAGGTAGTACGTCAATGATCCTAAACCTATCAATCGTCACAACTTAGTGAATCAAATAACATTTTAACCAATCTACCCACTTACTATTGGTGTCAAGGCATGATTAAATTCTGCACAATGAAAAGGGGGTCACTACTAGTGCATTCATCACAGGGTTAAAACACCTTTTAAGTAGTGTAATCTGTTTAGATTTATCATTATCTTCATCTTCCTCACATGTCCTCACAAAGACCATGCCTGTTCACTCTTAAATTCACCATATCATCATACTCAAGTCACATCTAAAGCATCTGTCAGCTTTTCTTAGGAATTCCCAGGCTTTATTTAATCACTGTTACTTCCTAATTTTCTGCAATATGAGTAGATTTGCTATATATATTTTCATAACTGCGTGTTTTCACACCTTCAGTTGTACTGGCACCTATGATAGTGTTTGGGCTATATAGAAACCTGGTAACTATCAAGATTTTTCACGCCTTGTGTCACAGTAGAATACTTAATTTGTTCCATGAAAGCTGAATGGAATAACTTTCCTCTGGTTTTTCTAAAAGTAGTGGGCAGCGTTCAACAGAGGATCCTTTTTTGAGATCCATTCATCAGTTAGAACAGTTGTTTGTCTGTAAAAAATACACAGCACAATCTGGTAACTTAACCACTAGAAGTGATACTTGCATCCTAAATTGAACATTTTTAACCTTTTGTATCATTTTTAAAATTTAATTATGTATTCTTCCATAGATTATCTATTCATTTCCAAACTCGATCAAGTACGAACCAGGCCTTGTAGAAATTTAACAATTCGTTTTTCTTGTAGATTCTATCCAGGAATTCTATTGAATCTAAACCTTCAAGGGTTAATGACTCATCTCTTTGATAATGCCTTCCTTGTAATTTTACTTTGTGCAGCAATCTGTTAACACCAAGGCCACATCTTGTTTTCTTTTTGCTGCATCCTGAGTCCTCATATCACTTCCATTCTTCATATGGCTCTAACTCCAAAAACATCAAAGGCTAATTGTACTCCAACAATTTAATTTTGATTTTGAAATTCTCTACAATAAGCCCCTAGGATTTTAGTTTTAGGCCAAAGCAAGTGTCAATAGTTCTCAAACTACACTTTTGACAACCATCCAGTGGTACCATGTCAATTCAAGAGAAACCGGCATTTTAGGTGAAAGCATAAGAGCCTGGTCTTTGCAGACAAATAAGCTTTTACTTCTAAAGATACAGATTACACATTGTCTGCCGGTAATCCGCACTGGTACTTAGAGCCCATTATATCTCAGCACAGGGTGCAGTTCCCCCAACTAATCCACAGGGATTGATGCTGGGTCCACTTTTGTTTGTCATTTATATAAATGATTTAGATGAGAATATAGAAGGCATGGTTGGTAAGTCTGCGGATGACACCATGATTGGTGGTATAGTGGATCGTGAAGTCAATTCTCTAAGATTACAAAAAGAACTTGATTAGTTGGGTCAATAGGCTGAAGAGTAGCAGTTGGAGTTTAATTTGGATAAATGTGAGATATTGCATTTTGATAAAACAAATAAGGGCTAAACTTATACAATTAAATGTAGAGCCTTGGGTAGCTTTGTAGAACAGAGACCTAGTGGCTCAGATAGATACTTCTCTGAAGTTTGCATCACATATAGATAGGGTGGTTATGAAGTCATTTAGCACGCTTTCATTCGTTGCTCAGACCTTTGAGTATAGGAGTTGGGATTTTATGTTTTACAGGAGGTTGGTGAGGCCTCTTTTTGAATACTGTGTCCAGTTCTGGTCGCCCTGATATAGGAAGGATATTATTAAGCGGGACAGGGTTCAGCAAAGTTTTTCCAGGGTGTTGCCAGGAATGGAGTGTGAGAATTATAAGGAAAGGCTGGGACTTCTTTCACTGGAGCAGAGGAGGTTGAGGGGTGACCTTATAGAGGTTTACAAAATCAAGAGGGGTATAGAGAAGTTGAATGGCAGGTGTCGTTTCCCTAGAGTGGGGCATTTCAAGACATTTTTGAGAAGAGAGGAGAAAACTGTTTTAAAAAATGTTACGAGGGGGAATTTCTATACACAGAGAGTGGTTCATGTGTGGAGTGAACTTCTGGAGGAAGTGGTAGATCCAGGTACAGTTGCAATGTTTAAAAGACATTTGGATAAGTACATGAATAAGAAATGTTTGGAGGGATATGGGCCAAGCTGGGACTAGTTTTAGTTTGGGGTTAAGGCTGGCATAGATGAGTTGGACACAAGGGTCTGTTTCCGTGCTGTATGACTCTATGACTTAGAGGAGAGGGCCAACTGTAATGTATCAAAATTTGCTGACAATACAAAAATAGGTGGGAGGTCATCTTGTAACGAGGACATAGGAATCTGCAAGAGGTTACAGATAAGTTGAGTAAGTGGCAAAAATTTGGTAGATGTTGTTTCATGTTGGAAATTGAGAAGCCTTTGTTATCAGCACTTTGACAGCATTGTTATCTAGTTGGGACAGTGTTTCCGAATTCTTTTTCCTCTTATGACCTTATTATGATGTGTGAAAATTTTTCTGACCATGCCCCTCTAAAAAGAGCTGTCAAAGTTGAGCGCAAGCCAGTTCCACTGCAAGTCACATTGGCTTTAAGTAAAATGCAGCTACTACTTCACTGGGGTTTTTCAGGATTCAATTCAATGCCAGTCTGATCCCAGACTGAAATCTGATTTGACAGTTTTTTGTTTTTAATAACTGAAACATGAACTTG